AAACCCTAAACCCTAAACCCTAACCCCTAAACCCTAACCCTCTAAACCCCTAAACCCTAAACCCTAAACCCTAAACCTCTAACCCCTAAACCCCCCCCGAGGTGCGGAGCGGCTCCCCCCGGCGCCTCGGCCCTGCCCGGCAGAAGCTGAGCGCCAGCGTCAGCGCGAGCCAAAGCCGCTCGGGGACCTTGGCCTCCGCCGGGCCGCCAGGCTCGGACCCTCGGGACCTCCGCGGTTTAGGGTGTTTTGGGGGGTTTTAGGGCTTTAGGGCTTTAGGGTTTTAGGGCTTTAGGGTTTGGGGCTTTAGAGTTTTAGGGTTTAGGGTTTAGGGTTTGTTTAAGGCTTTAGGGGTTTAGGGCCCCAGGGTTTTGGGGTTTTAGGGCTTTAGGGTTTTAGGGTTTTAGGGTTTTAGGGCTTCAGGGTTTTAGGGTTGAGGGGTTCATGGGTTCAGGGTTGAGGCTTATGGGGGCATGATCCTCGAAACTGTCGAGTTCTCGCAGAGTACAGGCTGTCTTGACTTGCATTGAGCTTTCCCAGCGACGGAGAGCCGATACAGAATCGGAAGCTTTCGCACCGATGCAGTTTCGCTACGGCCGCCGCCCTCGTCGCTGGAGGTGGAGCCTTCCGTTGGAGTAGGGCTCGAAGCGATGGGACTTCTTGACCCAATACCGAAAGGATTGTGCTCGTCATACACCCCGGCTGCTTTCTGGTAAATGAGCCTACGCCCCCTAAGCAGAACTCAGACATTGGGCAAGTCAATGTCTTTTGGTTAAAGGAGGAGTTTTCCAACTGACGACATTCTGTTTCAGCAAGCCGAAAAGGACAAGACAGGGGCCGTAGTTGTTTTGTCTTGTTGATTCATTGTATTGGTTGTGTCGGGACTAAATGGGGATATTATTGCTAAAGCTTCGACAGTCCCTCGCTTGGCAACGGCTCCCCAGGTGTGTCCTAAGGCACTTGACATGAGGCCTTAAAGCACTCAACTACGACCCTGAACTCCGCAAGCCGTCAGCACGGAATGCTAAACCCCGAAACCCAAAATCCTAAACCCCACCCAGCTCCCCCCGAAAAGCTCCCACAGCCGAAACTCCAACCCTCCTCAGATTCACGAAGTCGAAGAGATCCCGCGGATGCCGCCATCGCCAAGTCAGGCACCTTGAGGGTACCAGACTCACTGTTTAGGTTTTGGAGACGGAGAGCATGTGGAGCTTGGGGCATGCTGTAGGGCCCACCGTATTTTGCTGCGCTTAGTGGCAGGCAGCCGCGGACCCGGCGCTGTCTCCTGGCGAAGACGCACGTGTACACGATTGGGAATCGGGGAGTGGGGGTCTGTCGTCCAGGCACCTGTTTCCCTGTGTTTCTTTCGACGTAGATCTTGTGGTGGTGGTGGTGGTGGTGGTGATGCTGATGTAATCGCGATGACGAGGATCTGGTGATGCAGGCGCCGCTGCTGCTGATGACGCTGGTGGTGGTCCTCATCAATGCACTGGCCGCGATGGTCACGATAACATCCTTGGCCCGTTTCGATGGGGAGGGACCGCAGGATAAGGGCACCGTGCGGAGGAAGCTAAGAAAATCTTGAACAACGTTTCGGAGGCCGGCTTGGGTGCCAGGAATCCATAACCAAGCCAAAATAGAAATAGAATCCTCATACAAACCTGCACCAACGCTCAAGCCCTAAGCCTAAACCCTAAACCATACACCGTCAATGAAGTTATCACCTAATTTCAGGACCCGACGCTGCTACATCCGAGGCCTGCCGCGGCAGTGTCCCGACCCTCCAAGGCCTCGCGCATGGATTCGGCCAGGGCCCTACGTGTTAGGGTGTCGGGTCCAGAGTTGAGGGGTTTAGGGTGTCGGGTTTCTGGTCTAGACTTAGGAGCTTGGAGATAACAGGGTTCAAGGCACTTTTGGATGTCGGGTTTTTTGGCCAAGAGCAGCGGTACGGTGCAGCATGTCGGACGGGAGGGTTCTCGATTGGATTTTGCAGAGCTCCATCGGAAACATCCCGTATGAACCCCTGAGGCGGTGACCTTTTCCGGGCATGGGCCCCAGAGTCGTTGTGCCACGGTGAGACGTGCACCAACGATGCCCCTGCAGAACTGTGCCTAGTTGATGCAACTGCCAGAAGCCAGTAGTGCGTGTCAAAGTCCGGCTCACCCTGCTGCTGCTTATCAAATCGGCCAGTGTTTCTGCCATGGTTGTTGTTCGAATCCCGAGCCCAGGCAATTGGGGACTCGAGGCCTTCCAGTTTGAAGGTCTGAGGCTACTATAGGGGGTTTAGGTAATTACCTATACTATTTTGGGGGCTCCCCATTATAAGTATAGTATAATATACACCCAAACCCTATTCTAATGATTAAGGCTCCTCTATTACTTCTCAGGGTCTATCTTCAGGTCATGGGGCAACGGCGGCAGCCGCGCGTCAGGCCCGGCAGACCCACTCTGGCGGAAAGCTTCACAGCATCAGCAGTATCATTCTGATGTCAGCAATGTGGTGAGTATCACTACTTGCAGCAGCATTGTCGCAATAGGTGGAAGTACCACTATTGAACATACTAGTATAGTAATCCAGATGGTAACATGTACAGGCCTAAGTTGAAACATTCACAAGATGTAGTGCGTTCGAACACTCAAAACTGACAACATAACATGCTGAGAGTACTCATAATCTTCACCAGGTGCTGCTGTTGATGGTCCGCACTGTGAAGATAGCTACTAACCGCAGTCTGTTCAGCAATACTCAGGGTTCAAGCAATAGAGGCATCATTACCAGTGGTTCGTGCAATAAACATATCAGTCATTTTTTCGACCAGGACGAGCAGCACTCGCAAAGCTGCGGCCAGTGTTAGGAGTTCTGATGGAGAGCGGTCCTATCAACGGTTTTCACAGCTAGTTACTGCCAACGGCAAGACAACCCTAAACCCTAAACCCTAAACCCTAAACCCTAAACTCTTGCGAGAGAAAGGGGGCTATTGCATTAAAAGAAACCCTAAACTCGACTCTAAACCCAAAGCCCTACGCCCAAACCCGGGAGCCGCACCCCTAAATCCGAGCCGCAGAGCGGCTCCGGGCTGACAGGTGCCGGCCCCCAGTCGCGGCAGGAGCCTTACCGATGAGCAAAGCTCGGAAATGATCGGCCCAAACAGGTTGAGGGTTTAGGGTTTAGGGTTTAGGGTTTAGGGTTTAGGGTTTAGGGTTTAGGGTTTAGGGTAATATATAAAACCGAAGTACATAAAACAGAAGCCTCAAGAATTAGATTCCTCACAGGATTATGGTTCTACCGCTCTACTCTCACCCAAAGCCCTATTGCATTATTCAGGCCCTCATCGTGTCCCGAAGCGGAGAGCTCCCCAGTCCCGAAGCGAAGCTGAAACGGTTTAGGGTTTACGGTTGAGGGTTTAGGTTTTTGGGGTTTCCCAAGACCCAACAGTGGTAACCCGACAGTAATACTTCAAACCAGCATGATAATGATAATGATATTAACCACAACAGTAACTTGCAACAGTGGTAATAGTCATAGAAACCACTAAACCCGGAAGCCCTCAACAACCTCAACCGCCCTCTCCAGTCCGAATCTCAAATGATCAATCCTGAACTCCCAAACCCCAAACCCTAAACCTCCTGACAGCAACCCTACAGCTCAAATCCTAACCCCCCGAAGCCCTGAACCCTAAACCCTAAACCCTAAACCCTAAACCCTAAACCCTAAACCCTAAACCCAACCCTGACCCACGAGATCGCAGTGCAAGGTCACCTGGTGAGCTGCCTCTGCCTCCTCAGGGCTCGATCTCCCCGACCAAGGCCCCGAAGCCTTTGGCATACTCAAGCAAGGGGCCCAACAAGGGGTTCAAAAAAAGGGCTCTTCAAAATAAAGGCTCTTGAAAGGGGCCCGACAAGGGTTCTTCAAAAAAGGTTCTTAAAGTGGGTTCTTGTGCCAGGTTTCCTTCAAGTTCTTTGGCAGGTTTTTCTTTCAAAGGGGTGTTAAGGGTCCCTGAACCCCATGGAGTTTTAACAGCCGAGCTCCAAGACAGCCCTTAGCTGCCGCTACAACTTCTGGAAGGCGCTTGAAGCTCATATTGCCTACACCCTGAACCCTAAACCCTAAACCCTAAACCCTAAACCCTATACAGGTGCAGGGCATGCTGGACAGCGCCGCAGGCCTTGAGGGTTCTGTGGGGGTAGAGGCAGCACATGGGTAGTTCTCTAAATTAGGGTCCGTCCTTTTATAAGGGTGCCGTACCATTCTGGGGACCTAAAAATCCACCCATTTGTAGGGTCCTTTTATAAGGGTGCCGTACTATTTTGGGGACATTAGGGTCCCATTTAGGGTCCTTTTATAAAGGTGCCGTACTTTTTTGGGGACCTAAAAATCCCCCCTAGGTCCCATTTAGGGTCCTTTTATAAGGTGCCGCACTATTTTTTGGGGACCAAAAAATCCCCCCTACCGCATGATTACGTCGCGTGACTGTGCGGTCATTTCTGTCACTCCTTGTCTGAAGCACCTTGCGCGTGAACGCCGAGTTACTTCAGCCCCCAGTCGTGAACTTTCTTTAGCCTGGTGCCGGTTTAGGGTTTAGGGTTTAGGGTTTAGGGTTTAGGGTTTAGGGTTCGCGGAGGTGGAAGACGCGGTCCGTAAAGTCATTGAGCTGATCACGGACAATGGCGGTGGCAGTGTCTTTCTTGGGGGCAGTTGCAACCCAACGACGTGGCGCCGCGACACCGCGATCCCGTTGTTCGAGGCCAACTCGGTGAAATTTTACAACCCACAGGTCGATGACTGGACACCCGTTTTGGTTGAAAAGGAGGCCACAGAGAAAGCGGAGGCAGCGGTCCTCTTGTTTGTGATTCCCAGACCCGCGGCATCAAAAGTCATGATCGAAGCAGCCGAGCTCATTGCTAGTGGCCGCCGCATTGTGCTGGTGATCCAGAAGATGACGGAAGCAGCGGATTCCAGCACTGACATGAAGGATTGCAACAGAGGACGTGCCTATCTGGAAGACCAAGTTGCGCGTGCCGAGCAGGCTGAGCGCGAGGCAAAGAAACAGAAAGTCGCCTAGCTGACAAGTGAGAGCAACAGAAAAGCGCTGGCAAGCGTGGGCTTGTGTCTCAGTGCGCATGAGACCGGATAACAGCTTCTACGGCACCTTACCATTCCCACATGTCTGGTCCGGGCAGTCAAAGACCACGCCCTGCAAAGCGGTATCTCTGAAAAACATGCCCAAAGCGATGCATTACAAGTACATGGCTGTTTCTGACTTCGGATCCGGCCGGCACCCCATTCTCTAAACTCCCCCAATCCCAAACCTCGCAACCCAAAATGGCGCCCCCCAGCAGTCCTTAAGCACTCCCCCCAAAACCCAAAACCCTAAAC